CATTTCACTTGCTGGAGACAAAACGTAAGACAGAAAGGCTCACGAACAAACAACTGACGACAGCTGCAGAAAAGACCTGACAAAGCATCACAAAGAAGGAAAACCAGTGTTTGGTGATGCCCATGCTTTCCAGACTTCAAGCAGAGGATTCTCGACAAAGTATTAAAAATGTATATTTTATTTATGATTGTTGTAATTTGTCCAATTACATTTGAGCCCCTGAAATAAGGGGACTGTGTATGAAAATGGTTGCATTTCCCAAATGTTTCATACAATATTTTTGTTTAACTTCTTGAATTAAAGATGAAATTTTGCACTTCAAATGCATCTCAGTTGTTTCATTTCAAATCCACTGTGGTGGCGTGCAGAGCCAAAATTATGAAAATTGTGAGTATCCAAATATTTCCAGACCTAATTGTTTTTGTATGTAGTATATATGTGTGTGTGTGTGTGAATGCAAGAGTGTATTACTGTGGAGATTGTGTATGTGAATGCAGAGCTGGAATTGTATGAAGTGTCAATGTCAGGAATATTCATTAAAGTGAGAATGATCAGAAATTCAAAGGCAATTTAAAAATTTAGACCAAATGAGATGAACTGTAAGCATAACTGACTTGGGGAATTTTACAATTCAATTATTTTTCCCTTTAATTTAAAATTTACTTTGGATTCTCACTTTGATGAATAACCCTAGAAATGTTATGTGTGAACGCTAAGATTTATTTGTAAGGTGTGCTAGTGTATACGAGTGTTGGAGTCTGTTTGTCTAGAATGTCTATTTGTAAATGCAGAGGTGGTTTACTGAAATCATTCTTTCATTTGGTCTCATCCATTCCCTTCTGTTTCTCTTGTCTATTTTCCCCAGCATCTTTCTCCAGTCCACACAATTGTGTCTTTATCTCACTCACCAACTTAATAATAATAATAATAACTAGTATTTATATAGCGCGCCTTTCTCCCAGTGGGACTCAAAGCGCTTTTCAGCGCATGCTCTCGCGATTAACCAAATCGGCAGCTGAATAGTAATTGATGGTTTTAGATGTTATTAAACACTTGTGTTTTCCTGTTTTCCCCTTACCTCTGCCAATCCTCCTCCTCTTTTGTATCAGTTACCCCTTATTTATCTCATTCTATTCCTAATTTATTTATCACTCCACTTATGACTCTCATCTTACCCCATTTCTCATTGACTCCCAACAGTGGTGTCTATGCGCCTGTCTTGCGCCTGAGTGCCACCCATTTCAACCACAATTTAGTTGTGACTCTTTCAGTTACTCCCCTCATGGATTTTTACTTATTAACCTCTATAAATCTTTTTTCATAACCACACACCTTGTGTTTCTGATGCAAATAACCTCAAACACTTCTCATGTGTCTTTGGCTCATATCAACCACCTTCTGTATCTCCCCATCACCACCCATATGTCTCTGACCTGTGTTACCCCCTTCAATATAGCTCCCATTTTGTCTTTTTCTTTCATGAGCAGCATACCTGGCAGAAATCCTCTACCTCCCAACATGCACTCTCCATGTCTGGAATGAGAGAAGGCAATATGATGTCACTTGTTATATACATTTCTCAACTGCAATGTGAAAAGACCTAGAAGAATTCACATGATGGAACACGCAGTGCTATATCGAAGAGTGCCATATGTTGCTGTGGCCATCTGCTTCACCAGGAGTCCTGCAACTATTATCCCATAACTTATTCAAATTGATGATGGACAGTTCAGAACATCTTCTGACCACCACAACCCGACTATTGCTATAGCGATTTTACCCGAGTGGTCTGTCCAACCTTGTATGGGAGAAGTTAAAGCACACAGCAGCCATTAATTACACTCGTTAAGCAGTATATTGCATGAAACTAAACGCTAGTAACCAACTATTGCAAAAGCTAAATGATTGCAACAGCATGGAAGCAAGCCTTTTGTCAGTCACTTAGCACAACTAACTCACCAACTCACTGCTTAAGGAGTAAAAATAACATTGTATTCATTCTCTGGTTTAGTTTCTATAATCTAGTGTGTGGTTTTGATTTCAGCAACCAATCACTGCAACACATATTTCAAATTATCAGAAGCCATTGGTGGTCACTTCTTACTTGAAGAAAAAAATCTAACATTTCGAAATTCATAAAGTTACATATCCATCCTATATTTCATTACCTATAATGAACATTATCAATTGTATTCCTCATCACCCGATCACATGATCCTAACTCAAGAATTAGATATCTGTATGCATATTAGATGCATATCTCAAAAATGTGTTTACTCGAAGGAAGGAAGCCAGGATATTATGCAATCTACTGAAACGTAATAAATGTATTATATAACTTAGCGTAATGTAGAACATTTTCGGATTCATATTATGTTAACCAAATTGACAACATTAATTATCAGAGAATAAGAAAATACAGTTAAAGGGACACTATAGGTACCCAGATCACTTCAGCTCATTAAAGTGGTCTGGGTGCAGTGTCCCATTCCCCTTAACCTTACAATTGTAATTATTGCAGTTATTGATAAACTGCAATTATTACCTTGCAGGGTTCGCTCCACCTCTATTGGCTGTCTAACAGACAGCCACTAGAGGGACTACCAGGTTGCTAGGCAACTTTTATTCACCTAAATGAAGCTTGACGTCCTCATGCTCTGTACGAGGACGTCCAGCGTCAACTAAAACCCAATAGGAAAGCAATGCGCTACGGAGTAATCCTAACAACTTTGTTTTCCTAGCACTATAGTTTCCCTTTAAGAAAATCTGCTATTGCTAAATTATGTTATTTAGATAGTTACATATATTTACTTACGTAGGCTGAAAAGAGACATGTGTCCATCAAGTTCAGTCTTTCTCACATCTGTTTTTGAGGTTGATCCTAAAGAAGGCCCTCAAAATGAATTACAAATTTAAGCTAAAAGTAGCTGAATTGGAAAAATGTCTTTTACCACTTTCCCACTTATTTATGTGCTATTTTCCTCATACAAAATGCCAAAATAATAGGAAGCATATCATATGACTAGAGAAAAAAAACATTTTCTCACACTACCGAGCAGCATTTATATTCAGACACCTGCTCTCTCTTTTGTGCCGAGATGCAGCTATAACTTTCTTTTGGCTGTCCACACTTTTTTTGAGAATGGCCTACATTTATTTCATACTGATGAGGAAGAGATTGATTGCCGTTATACACCTGCCAATTTCATTTCAATTTTTCTGGTATACTATAGCTGTCTCGCTGACACAAAACTTTCTGATTTCTGCAATTGTAAATAGCTTTGAAATATTACTATTGTAGTTTGTTGGCCTTGTTTAAAACTAATTAATTTGTTCTTTACTCCTTTAAAAATTTAACCAAAAATACATTTTGCAAGGCTAGATTACTTTTCTTCGTAATGGAGGAGATATTACAAAATGTAATCTTCAAGGAACACTGAAGCACCAAAACATTATGGTGCCAGCAGAGAACAGTCTCCCTCACAGTCAAAGAAATCAGAACATTTAAGAATTTACCTGGGGTCTGCCAGGGAACTGCTGCTGCCTCCTGTGAAGGTGGAAGCTCCTGCACTAAGCCGAGCGATGCAAGGCTGCAGTCTTTAACTCATGCTCTCCTTGCAAGAGTTTCCAGCTCCAGAGGAAGCAGAGATGGATGCCCAGTTTGACTACTCGTGCTGTGAAGACGTCAGGGCACTCCTGGAACCATGACTACTACCGTGGGCTGTAGCATTTATGGTACTTGTAGTGTTCATTTAATGTGTCCTCTACAAATGAAACATTAAACAAGGTCTCACTTTGGAAACAAACAGGTGAAATATTGTTACCATATAATGCTTCAGCATTGCGATACATTTGTATCAATTTGTATATGCAGTTTTCCAATTTATAAATTTTTAAATTATTTTCCACATATTGTTATCTGTTCAATAGGATAATTTACTACTATATTGTATTTTATTCTATTATATGCTGCCAATACTGTTAGTCATTAGTGATGTCCCGAACGGGTCGCCGAATGGTTCGCCACAGACGGCGAACATATGCGATGTTCGGTCCGCCCCCTATTCGTCATCATTAAGTAAACTTTGACCCTGTACCTCACAGTCAGCAGACACATTCCAGCCAATCAGTAGCAGACCATCCCTCCCAGACCCTCCCACCTCCTGGACAGCTCACTAAGAATGCAGCTTCACAATGAATGTAAAATGGATGCTGTCTAGGAGGTGGGAGGGTCTGGGAGGGAGGGTCTGCTGCTGATTGGCTGGAATGTGTCTGCTGACTGTGAGGTACAGGGTCAAAGTTTACTCAATGATGACATAGGGGCGGACCGAACAGCGCATATGTTCGCCATCCGTGGCGAACCGTTTGGGACATCACTATTAGTCATATAAATTATTTTTATTGCAGAATACTGTTATGATAATGTCTATTTACTATTATATATTGGTATATCCAATTGCTTAATTCCACATTACTCTTAACACCTTACCATTGATGCAAGCAGGAAGTGGATGTAGCAGTCCAGTGAAGGGGCATGAAACCTCCCAGCTAGCCCCCAGTGTACTGAATCATGCAGAGAGAACTGCTGAAGCACACAGGGCCATTTTTAATGCGGGGCAAACGGGGCAGCTGCCGCGGGCCTAGTTACTCCTGGGGGTCCCAAAGCAGCTGTCCTGTTTGCCCTCAATCCACAACAATTTATTTTAGGATTACCGATTCTAAAATAAATTGTTGTGGGCAGTGAGCCTGCACACTGAGGAGGCGGTTTAGTGAAATTCCTGGTGGTCCAGTCTGCTGCTGGGGCTGCCGCACTTACATGTGGTTCCAGTGCACTGTGTGCCGGAACCGCAAGGGAGTGCGGCAGCCCCAGCAGCACACTGGACCACCAGGGAGTTTACTAGCAGCACACTGGGCCACCAGGGAGTGAACCAGCAGCACACTGGACTACCAGGGACCCACTGGCCCACCATGAAATTAATTATTGCCTCCTCTGCCTGCACAGAAGGTAAGAAGGAGGGGGCAAAGCAAATTACATTTTAATTCTGTGTGTTTTTCCCTCACTCTGTCACACAAACCCTCTAACCTTGTCTCACCAGCCCCCACAACTCTATCTCACTAGCCTTCCAACCCTATCTCACTAGCCCTCAGCCCTGTCTAACTAGCCCCCCCCAGCCCTGTCTTACTAACCCTGTCACACTAACCACCCCTAACCTTGTTACACTCACCACCCTCCCACAATCACTTAGAAAACCTCACCCTGTCAAACTCACCCATCCGCAACACTAACATCCAAACCCCCAACACTGTCATGCTCACTCCCTAACTGTGGCATGCTCACCCACTCTCACATCTACTCCCTAAACCCTTACCCAACGGATGTCTGTTTGTCAATGTGTATTAAGTACCAGTGGGTGTATCTCTGTGTATGCGTCAGTGTGTGTAGCTTTGTTTCTGTGTATTTGCATGTATGTTGCTGTGTGTGTCTGTGTATCTGTATGTAGTCACTATGTGTGTATCAGTATGTTGTCAGTGTGTGTATCTGTGTGTAGGTGTCAGTGTGTATATTTGTGCATCTGTATATAGTCAGTGTGTGTATATATGTGTGTCTGTTTATCTACATGTGTGACAGTGTTTGTCTCTGTGTCTCTGTATGTGTGTCAGTGTATGTAAGTACCAGTGGGTGTATCTCTGTGTATGTGTCAGTGTGTAGCTTTATGTCTGTGTATGTGCATGTATGTTGCTGTGTGTGTCTGTGTATCTGTATGTAGTCACTGTGTGTGTATCAGTGTATCTGTATGTTGTCAGTGTGTGTGTATCTGTGTGTAGGTGTCAATGTGTATATCTGTGCATCTGTATATAGTCGGTGTGTGTATCTGTGTGTCTGTGTATCTACATGTGTGTCAGTGTTTGTCTCTGAGTATCTGCATGTTGTCGTTGTGTGTATTTATACTATATGTAGTTAGTGTATATGTATGTATGTATGTGTATCTGTATATCTGCATGTGCGTCAGGTTGTGTATTTGTGTGTCTGTGTGTCAGTGTATATGTATGTTGTCATTGTGTGTATTTGTAATCAGTGTGTCTATCTGCATGTGTGTAAGTGTGTGTATCTGTGTGTCTGTGTAACTGCATGAGTGCCAGGTTGTGTATCTGTGTGTATGTATTTGTCAGTGTGTGTCTGTATATCTGCATTTGTATCAGTGTGTGTGTATCACAGTGTGTATATGGCAGTGTATGTGTATACATCTCAGCATTTAAACTTCAACACTACATACAAACACTCTCCTGCATTGAAATTTTAACACTACATTTCCCGATGTCCCCAGATGTGAGATGGTGGAACAGGACCCTAAAATTAGGACCGTCTTACCAAAAGTGGAACAGTTGGGAGGACTGCTTCTTTATAGTATATAGCAGCCAGGTCTATAGTATATACTAGACTTGGCACTAATCCCTTTTAGTGAACTAATCAAATGCCTGTCAATCCATTGGAGAATTTGTTCATTCATAGATTGACAGGCAAGTTGATTCAATGTAGCTTAAAAAATATGTGCATAAGTCTAGTATGTACCATTTATACTATTATATAACCCACAATTTACATTTTGATATCTGAAAAGAACAATGTGTCCCCTATGTCCATTCTCTAAATGCACTAGCTTTGTTCTTGATTATGTTTCTCATTAAATAAAACAGTGTGTCAATTTTGAGGTTTGAAAGGTTCATCCACCTTACTGTACACAAAAAGTTTCTCCAATGTTGCCCTTTTCCTTGCACTTGAGTATAACCCCCATTTTCACTAAGAATTACAGTACAGTGTTTTACTTAGTTGCTATTTTGCTGAAAGGGAATGACAGAGGTTCCTTATAACTAGAAAGGTTTTAAAAATTATGGGGAGATGGTGGGATCTAATCTGATATGGAAATGTTTCCAACTGGTCTGTGGTCATAACATAGCAGTGTTAGCCAAAATATTAAATTCACCTTAATTCAATGCTTAGTGCATAAACAAATCCTTGGGGTTTATTTTCTAAAATCCAAAACATAAACTAATTTCAATCTGAATGACAGCATTTAGGCAACAACTCGTGACTAAATACCAAGTTGTAGAATGTTTCCAGATCAACTATTTTAAGTTCTATTTTCGTTTTGATTTCTATTCTTTACAGCTAAAGGTTTAGTCAATTTCTCTGCTTGGGTATAAAACTTTGGACCCTTTTCAATAACAGAGCCATGACACCAAATATACTAAATAGATTGATTTAGTAAGAAATGGTTATTTAATGCATGTGTTTTTTTTTGGGAGGGGTGGGGATGGGTTAATATTTTTCTGAAATGTCTTGGTATTTAAATATGATTCTCTAGCACTCTGGCTCGTCACACATTTCACACCAGATTGTTCTAGCCGGAGCAAGAATTGAGTCAGTAGCCGGTTTCTCAAACCACATTCAGGCACAATCTGACTGTCGTACTAAGGAGACAGCTAGAGGGTGACAGTATCATGCTGACCGACTCACTGATGCATTGCACAATATTACTAAATATAGATGAACCTCAGATGAAAAGTCACTTTTTATCATAACATGAAGTTCTTCTTATTGATCAGTGAATGTCACAATCACAAAGAATGTCCATATGATGCCGATTCTATTTAAAAAAAAAAAAAAATCTTAATCACATGAGCCAAATAATGCAGTTTTTTTTCAGATGGGTTTTGGAAAATAGTTAAACAAATTTTACATCACAACTGGGTAAAAACAAGACGATCTAAAAAATATATAAAAATGGAGTAATGGAATCTAAATGAATATTAGACTACCACTACAGCAACTGATGCTTACAGTTTCCCTTTAGTTGGGTAAAGCGTGATCCATTTGCTTGTGATATTTTGTATCCTTTCTGCACCTTGAGTAATCAAACATTTTGATTACTTGTAGATCTCAGGAACTTTTTTGAAAAAAAATTGACAGGAAGAGACTGGACACTAGGACCATGCACAGAGCATTTCAGCAGTGCTCCATGCATGCTCTTCCATAGGGGGCAGACTGACAGTCAGCCTGGCCATATTCTTTAGCAGCAGACCCGTCTCTTTGATGGGCAGATCCGCCCCTTGCACAGTGCCCGAGACAGAGGTAGACATTCAACTTTGGCAGCATGAAAGCCCCAGGTCTAACTCTAGCATCTTTTTTTTTTTTTTTTTTAAACTAGTTCTGAGTCTCCTCAAAATCTGCTATTGGAAGTGTTATATCATTAATTTAAATAAAATAATACATTCATTAGCATATTTACCCTTGGGCTAGATCCCCTGGTCTTTTAGCAATGCCTCTGCTGCAAATTAAAAAGCAGCCATTTGTTGTTGTAGGATTTTCTCAATGCTTTGCTAATGGTAAGTGGTCAATCTAGGCACCATAACCATTACAACACAGTGTAATAGTTTTTTGAAACGCAGTGTCAGGAGTCCCCTGGAATTATGATCTAGCTCTCTTTAAATATTGCTTCTATGCAAGTTCCTCCTGACATATTAGTGTCATATAAATTAATTCATCGGCTGATGCCTCAGGGCGCTTATCAACACGAAGTGAGAACCTAGACCTGCTTAAAAGCTACTAGAGCAGCAGATCTGATGAAATGAGCTACATGGAACATGTGAGGGATTTATGGATGAATAAGAGACCATCATCCACAGTAACACCAGAACAACTAGTTACACAACGTTGGAACATTATCAAGAGGAAGCTATTGTCACAATTGGAAATAGATGGACTACGCAAAAGGTCATACATGAGCCATGAGGAGGAAGAAACTCCTATACCTTCAGAGGATTGCCAACCTGCATCAGTGCCGCAAAGTGGCAGAAGAGCAAATATTAGAGAGATGATCATTGAAAAGCTAACAGTCCTTGACCAGACAAGAGTAGTAAAGATCGCTGGAAAATGGTCACCAGACAGTATGCTAGCAGTGGTTAACAAGGCACCATCTACAATGTGAACCAACACCATCACAGACCTCAACAAGTTCAATACCACAGCTTTAGTGGTCCTACAACAGCTTTATTACATGATCGGGCTAAGAGAAAAATGGAGACTAAGACTGGACGCTAAGATAAAAGCAACACATACGGAAGTTAGTAAGCTGGAGGAGGGAAGATCAACTTCACAGAGGAGGGAAGATCAATGACAGAACCTAACTGCCGAGGAAATGCAAGGATCAGCTGATAGCAGAGGCTGTGGAAACAGCTAATCAAAGGCTGACAGCAATCAGAGTGAGCAGATATACTAGAGAAGCAGAGAATAACTGCACTGTTCACCAAAGAACCAACCAAGGTGTACGCACAGCTGCAGGGTAACAGCATATCCACTCAAGACCCAGCCAGACATGAAACTGAACTGTATTGAAATAACTTCTTGGTGAAATAAGCATCCCATAACAGAAATGTCCCATGGCTACTAGACCTAAAAGCAGACCAATGCATGCTCCCAGTAAAGGAACCAGTCACCATCACAGTCAGAGATATCCAAAAATGAGTGTCCCACAAGAAATGTTGGTCAGTAGCAGGACCTGGCAGAACAATACTGGTTATGAAGGACCCTCAGTACACCAGCTGCTGGTAGACCAAGCTTTCACATGGGATTCCAAGACCAGATACACTGGTTTGTGCACAGCCTGGATTTACTACACATGCCACACACATGGATTTTGGAATGCTTATCTCATTACAAGGTCAATAAAAAGCTTTCGTCAAGAATTCAATGGGCAAGTGGAGATCAACTGCATTTCCAGGACAATTGCACAAGTGAACATTAAAGGTGGCATAAATGGTGATGAACTATCCCTGATGCTGTTCTGCAAAGGCGTTAACCCCTTAAGGACACATGACATGTCTGACATGTCATGATTCCCTTTTATTCCAGAAGTTTGGTCCTTAACGGGTTAAAAACCCTCAGCCAGATCTTCATGAAGAAGTGATATTGATACAGGAATGGAAGAATGGTGTTAACATTAATCACCTCTTTCACATGGATAACATTAAGCTGTATGCCAAGAGCAAGCAGGATATTTACACAGTGATGGACCTAACCAATTAGGAGACGTAGAGAATAACTACCACAAACACATGGCAACCATGAGTAAAAGGCAAGGAGGATAGCAACATCCAAGTATGAAGCACCTTCATAGAGTCAGACAAATCGTGAAGTCCCAGCTGAATGGCTAGAACAATATCCCTGCCATCAATACATACACTGTACTAGTCATTTGCTACCCAGCTGTAATAATAACCTTGCCAAGAGAAGAGCTGGACACCATATGTGGCAAACCTAGCCACTTCTGGACTTCGAGGCCGTTCGGATAAATTATTCTTTTGGCATATTAAAGCTACAAATATATTATATCAGTTATTTATTTTTATGTAAAACTGTACATTTTGCTGTACGGAGAGATAATGTGATTAACAGTACATTCTTGCACAATTATCTCTCCTGTACAGCAAGGCATGCTGGGAAACAGCCTTGCAGGCTAAGTTCCCCACACAGTCCTCTGTAGTAAAACCCCTGCAATGTCACTCAGGAAACCCCTTGCATGGGGTCTTGCATAAATACTGTGACCGTGGAATAAAATGACAGTTGATAGTTGACTCCCAGACTATGTGTCGTCTAGTCCTTGGGGAAGAGGGATTATTATTACGCTGCCTGTGTTTTACCTGCTTTATCCTGACTACCAGTGGAGATACCGTGGATTATACTGCTACTCCGCTACACCATGGACAACAAGTCCTGCTAACTACTAACAATGAATGGAATATTTCATCCAAAATCCAGAGCCCAGAGATTGTACACCATCTGAAAGGAAGGAGGTCTGGGCCTTATGAGTGTCAAAGGCACAGTCTTTAATGAAACACACATACATCATAAAGATGATCCCAAAAATTACCTGCTATGGGAATGCTGAAACAACAACAGAGGATGTACAGAATGATGAGGTTCCATGGCAAGACATTCCTCTGCATGGGATGTACCACTGGCAGATAATATATGTGGTTTACATGATGAAATCCTACCAATGTTTGTTTAAAAAAAAAAAAAAAAAAGCAGGACTGAATGACAGCTCTGGGGCACTAATTTTACCAGCACTCTCTCATAGGGGTCTGCAACACCAAACATGTACAAACTATGCAAGGAGGGCTTCAAGTCAATCCAGTACACAGAAGTTATGTGCAAGATGTTAGCATGGACAACATAGACTGAAAAACACAATCAAGTTGCAGGGATTGTGTTCCAAAACATCTGCACAGAATACAGGCTGGATCACACTCAGTCCAGATGGGAGATAACACACAGGGCAATTGAGAATGACAGGGCTACAATCTTGTGGGACTTCCAGATCAAGACAGGCAAGCTGGTACTGGCCAACCACAAGTAATATGAGACTGCAGTAGTTGTGGATGTGGCAATAGCCAGTGACCATAGCATCAAAAAGAATGAACATGTGAAGGTGAACACATAGTAAATGCTGCAAGAGGAGGTAGAATAAAGTGGAAAGTGGGGGCAACAGTAGTCCCGGTTGTGATAGGAACACTCAGGGTTGTAACCCTCAATTTGGAAGTGTGGCTTCAGCAGATTCCAGGTGGGACAACAGTCATATGGGCAGTTTATATACTGCACATAAGCCTCTGGAATAGGACCCGAGAAAATGGGGAATACACAATTACCAGAGGAATTACCCGATTACCACACAGAGGGGTGGAAAGTGTAAGAGAGAGAGTAATTTCCATTTCAGTTAGTTAGTAATCCTGATTGTGCTAATAATTTAAAATCAGCACAGCAAAAATATATTGGTTTTATTACTCAAACTGCAATTTATATAATATAAAAATATTATTCTGAGGCTTGGTACTGTGCTTACCTATACAGTGGTATATTTGCACTGGTTGATAATCATTTGACTTTCATTTCAACCAATAACTATTTTATTATTACACTCTATGTTAATAAAATAAATGTTACAACTCCAACAAGACAACAAATATGATATGCAGCAATATTATGCCATAAAAAAACAAGAATATTACTCCTTAAAATAATCTAATGAATATTACACCCCTGACAATACAATGAATATTGCATTCCTTCCTAATTTCATGGAAATGAAACACTATTACTTGATCAGTGATAATCGTGTTAATTATAAAGTGTGTGACAATCTGGTATCTGTGATAGTATGAACATAAACCAGTGTGACAAAGCAGTGAATATTGCATCCTGCCACAATCTGCTAAATATAACTTCCTGAGGTAATCCTGTGAATATTTATAGTGGATTTTGTTTGAATAAAATTCCTGGCAATTGTTGAACAAATCAATTCTAAATTGTTTTACCTGGTATATTAACTGTGTAGTCTATGGTGGGATTGATTCAGAATCAATTTGTTTCGGTTTTCATTGATAGGAATTTTTATTTGGATAAATCGCTTCAAACAGAAGTCTGATTTGTAGCCTGGCACAATGCAATGAATATCTAAAAAAAAAAAAAAACTAAATTGTTAATGGAGTGGCCAGTTGCCACCCCAATGTAAGTAGTCAAACTGTTTGGTAATGGTTGAGCTTCTTATCTGGGGTCCACTGAGCGCCGCTCCCAGCTTCTCAGCGCCGGAGGCTCCTGCTAGGTGATTCTGTTAGCTCTCCTAAGAGAGTGTCATCTGATTTCTTTCAGCTAATGATCCTGCTGGGTAAGAAATCAAACCATTACCAAACAGTTTGAGTGCTTACTTTGGGGGAGCAGCAGAGCACTCCTTGAACCATATGCAATACGAACCACTGCAGTGGTTCTGGTGTTTGAAATTTTTCTTTAATATTTTATTTAAAAGTATCAACATTCTGCAGTGCTGATGGATGATCAGTGGACAGGTGAGGTGTGTAAACATATATGATAGTACATTATTATGATGTATGATAAAATAACATATTGAAGGGCTAGATAGCACAAAATCCTGCACATTCATACGGTAACATTATTAAGTTTTTCTTGTGCTAAACGTAGGGGGCCCTTTGGAACCCCAAGGATTGCAATCAGACAGACAGCAACCATTACAGCGTGTGGATTCACAAAGGAATCATGCTCAGGATGCACTGATACAGCAACAGGATCCATCAACTTCCACATTTAAACAGCCTCACCTGGGACGGTCATCTTCCACTACTGGGGAAGCCGAAACACAGTCAGGAGGGCAAGCAAATGTCACCCATAAGGCTCACCCACAACTGAAGTAAGGGCTACTAAATAATTCTAATTCATATTTATACTTCTGTGTATATATTTAATATTATCAATTATTTAACACCAGCGTATTCCTTCAAAGAGAAAGCACACAATAAGAGATTTATTTGTTGTAGTGAATTGAAACCAGATTACAAAATGTATGCATAAATGCTAATTTGGGGAAAAAAACAACTCAGTTTAGACAATGCTTAAAGGGATACTATAAGTGCCAGAAATGCAAAGCTGAATTCATAGCACAATAGCTCCCTCTGCCTCCCCACTCCCTCGATGCTGGGTCACGGTTCCACCTCCTCCTCCATCCCACGAGCGGGCACTAGCTGTGCATGCATCAGACATCCCCATAGAAAATCACTGAATTAATGCTTTCCTTCAGGGAAAAATCTGATACGGGATGTCCTCTTGCAGAGCATGAGGATGTCCAGCATCAGATACCAAACCAAAGGTCCATTTGGATGCAGGAAGCGACTTCAGTTGCTGTCTGGTAGACAGCCACTAGAGGCAGACTTAGAGCTGCAACCTAAACATTGCAGTTTCTCTGGAACTGCAATATTTTACATTGCAGCAGTGGCGTACTAAGGGGGGATGGAATGGGCAGTCTGCCCCGCGTGCCACTTACTAGGAGTGCCGCTTGCAGGAATCTCCACATCCAGCAGCGGCCTGTCCTCTGTTTTGCAATCCGCGAGAACAGAGGACATGCTGCTGCTGGATGTGTGATACTGTGCCACCGGACCACCAGGAATGTAGTATGTGTCCCATCCCTGGACACAGGTAAGAGTCAGAGAGGGGCGGACACACACACACAAACAATACACACTGCTCACTATACACTCATTATACACACACAAACACTGCATACACACTTTACACACACTGCATACACACACACAGCATACATACTATATTATTATTATTATTTTATTTATATAGCGCCGTCAGATTCCGTAGCGCTGTACAATGGGTGCACTAACAGACATGATATTGTAACCAGACAACTGGACGTACAGGAACAGAGTGGGTGGAGGGCCCTGCTCAATGAGCTTACATTCTAGAGGGAGTGGGGTATAGTGACACAAAGGATAAAAGTAGGGGTACAAAGTAAGTTGTTAGAAAAGTATTCACTGAGGGCTTAGTAGGTAATTTTTGACAGTTGCAGGAGAGGAGTTATGGGGTGGGGGATATACACACTATACACACACAGCATACACACTATACACACACAGTATACACACACACACACACACACACACTGCATACACTATACACACACACACGTATACCTGTGTGTCTGTGTATCTGTATGTGTATCTGTATGTATGTCTGCATCTGTGTGTCTGTTTTTATCTGTGTGTCTGTGCCTATGTGTCTCTGTATCTGTATAGTGTGTGTTTGTATCTATATGTGTGTTTGTATATGTGTGTCTCTATCTGTATGTGTGTCAGTGTTTGTCTGTATCTGTGCATGCCTGTGTTTCTATGTATCTGCATGTGTATACCTGGCTGTGTATCTGTATGTGCCAGTGTGTTCAACTGTGTATCTATGTATCTGCATGTGTGCCAGTGTGTATATTTGAGTATCTGTGTAGATGTGCATACATCTCAGCATTTCGCCAACACTACACACAAATACACCCTTGCATCCAAATGCTCCAGGTGCACTAAGTGCAAAAGGGACAGTGCATCCAAACCACGTCAATGAGCTCAACTGGTCTGTGTGCATATAGTGTCCCTTTAACAATTTTAGTTTACATTTTACTACTTTACAATTTTGATAACTGAATTTCAAAATATAGATAAAAATAGAAATAAACAGAAGAGATGTATTAATAATAAAGCAGAAGTAAATTGAATACATTTAACAATGAACACTATTTTTATCACAATTCACCGTAGTTAGGCAAACTTCTTTAACATGATGATCTTGATATACCAGTGTATAATCCAGTTTGTATTGTTGTAAGAGCTCTATCAACTGACAAATCATCATATATATATATAACCATCATATTCGGAGCCAAGGAACCTGTTTGATTAAACGAGCCTATAAACCAGGCTGCTGTAAACTCAAGAGACATTTCAAGGTCACACATATCATTCCTTTTTTTTTTTGCCTCTCTCTGTTGATACATTATGCTCAGAGTTTTTATTCCAGCAGTGGAATTATTATACAAGGTTTGATTAAAGATTAACATAATCAAACCAGGTCATTCCTAGGGCTACTATATTGATGTGTTAGGATATTAATATGTAACTGAAAAAGAAGGTGCAGACTATTGACTTCAATTCATATCTTGTGACTCGGGAATCTACAGCTCAATGACCCATATCTATTAAGCAGTATTTCTTTCTTTCTTACCCCGTTTATGATTGGAAAATTATTTTCATTTTCTAATTGACAAACCGGTACTCTGTAAGATAAGATAGGCTAGTATACTGTGGTTTGTACATAGAACTGGCACTAAAATAAATCAGTTAATAGTGACTATATTATTACAGAGAATGTTGTTAATTTATGGGTTTTTAACCCCTTAAGGACACATGGCATGTGTGACATGTCATGATTCCCTTTTATTCCAGAAGTTTGGTCCTTAAGGGGTTAAAGAAATCCTAAAATACTGCCTTCTCAACATGGCTGGCTTAACAAGTTGTTCAAGATTTGCTGTTGTAAATTCCTCCCTGCGGCACACGGAGTTTAGAGCAGTTATTTCAGAGCTCATTATTACTACTCTACAGGCTTTACATAAGGTAACAGGCCAAAAGTCATTAGTGTAGGAAGGCACTCAAAAACAAGGAAATTGACAGTTATATGAGGAAAGGAATTTGCTAAATAATGAGCTAGTTAATTTTCCTGTGGTACAAGACACATCTAAACATTTTAAAGGATCAAAGAAGGACATTTTTATTGTAGGGGGAGGGGGGCTAAATATATTACCAGATAGTTGTCAATTCCAGAACATTTTATGGTATTCTATGCCCTGCTTAAAGGGATTTATGAAATTGAAAAAAATATTTAGGACTGGACCAACATATATTATTGGCTTTCTAAAACCTCTATAGTTTAAACACCTAATTTCAGAAATTGTGTTACTGTGGATCTGTGATATATATATATTAATACATACAGAAAAAACGCACAGTGCAGTGTTTCATAACAAAATACTGACTCCAAGCACCATGATCACTTCAAATCACGGAAGTGGCCATGGTGCTTGGAACAACCCTCTAACTCAGCATTTCCCAAACCAGTCCTCAAGACCCACCAACAGTCCAGGTTTTGTTAGCATCTTCATTGGAATAAAACAGGAGAATATATAAATACTGGACTGTTGGTGGGCCATAAGGACTGGTTTGGGAACCACTACTCTAACTTAATGTACATCAAAAGCTATATCCATTAGGAATGTTAAACCCCCCTAAGTTGACTGTGCTTTCAGTGGGTCTCAGTGGAGTTTAGAATGTTGAGGTAGACCCAGAGGCGTAGGTTATCTTGCACATGTGGCGGAAATTTAAATTGGCCCCTAACCCCCCCAAACTGTAGATTTTGTTTTATTGCATCTCTTCAATGCCCCTAACACCCTTTTGCTAGGAAAAATCACAAACACTTGCAGTCACACACTCACTGGGGTTGGGGGTAGTATGCATTAGGAAATGTAGTGATGAATGTGTATTTTCCACTTTTTTTCTGTACTTTACATAAATCACAGTACTTCTGATAATTACCAGGAAGGTAGTACAGAGGCAAGCACCGTGCATGCATTTGAGCTTCCCTATAGAAAAGCACTGAATCAATGATTTCCTCTTGGGATTTTGAATATGCTGGATATCCTCATGCACAAAATGAAGACCTCCAACGTCGTTTCAGAGAGTAAAATGCAGGAAACTCAATAAAGTGTCTGGAAAACAACCTCTAGAGACAGTCTTAACCATGCATTGTAAAGTAACTGCAATGTTTTATATTGCAGGGTTTAGGGGACAGTAAACTGCACCCAGGCCACTTCAATGAGATAAAGTGGTCTCAGTGCCTATAGCTTTAAGCTTTTTTTCAGTTCCTGCTGTGGAGATCACTCTGTGCCCTGTTGGCACATCTCCCTGCAGCTCTGTGCTCATGCTAGTGTAATGGTTCGACTCCCACCATCAGTTCTGGAGAGGACAGAGTGATACCAGCAACCACTGTTGGTAGCCATGTACCTGCTCCTGACCACCCTCCAGGTATGTATTCTACGAGGTAGACTTCGAAGTCTAACAATGGACAAGTAGAGCAGTCCTGTATTGTAATTTTATGAGTGACATGTGAAATCAATTAGAATAAAATATTTGAGTTGGAATATGTTTTAAGTCTGACTATTTATAACCAGTGTAAGGGAATTGCATTCGCCAATGTAATATTTCTGGTCTCATATGATTGACGTAAAATCATTGATCAATAATTTGTTTGAAAATTAAAAAAAAAATTCACATTTTATATATCCCCGGGTTTTATTCAATGCATATTTTCTTTAAAAGAGATTTTATTTTTTACAGTTTTTATTTAATTATTTTTCCTGTTTGCAGAATGTTTTAACAACTGTACACTTTCTTGTTACTATTTCCTTTTGCCAAATAGCAAGTCCCAGTCCTTGACAAACACCTTCAGCTTCAGCCAATCATCTTTCTTCCGATCTGCAGGAAGCCAGGACGAAGCCAAGGCCGAATCTATCAGGAATCTGAGGAAATCGTTTGTCAGCCTTTTTTCAGATTAGCCTCCAGAATGGATGTGTAATTAGTTCATTAATGCTCAGTAAGAAAGTGACTCCCTTCAGAGGGTTTATTTCACTATGCAATGAATTATGGTAGATTTACATTGGAATTCCAAATTACTTTCCAGAATAGCTAAGCTGTAAAAATAGCGACATTATATATGTTCTCTTTTTAATACTCTACAATTCTTGATTTAGTGAATAAATCTTCATGTGTGTCTTCCTGCCTTACAACCCTTTATAAAATCCAGTATATACATGTAAGCAGCTATGCTCCAAAAATATGTATATTCAAATAAAGGTTCTGGGTGCCATTACTTCTACTGGTTATGGTGCTGCTAAGTGTCAAATTGTTTTCAATAAGGGGAATGCCCACTGTAAATAGAGGGAAGGACTGCAGACTCCTGGGGAACCCAGGTAAGTGTCAAATTGTTCATAGCCAATTTTAGCCACTGAAGTTTGTGTGCACTTATTATATAGATATTTTGGTATTTCACATCATTTAAAGAACTAATTATTTTAAAAAAAAAGTTACATTACAAGCAACAATTGTATTCATTTAATTAGCAATAGTTTCATAGTAAAGTGTTATATCAATGTAAATTAGATATGACTTGTAATAATTATCATGAACCCTTAGAACGTTTTACTGGCAGCCCTTGTTCTGTGCATTACATTTCCAAGGCTTTGGTTTTGTGTAGTTTTTTTATGTTTTGTTAAATATGATTTTCTGTTTTCTTTAATGTATCTTCTATCTGCAAATATTCCAATGGAGAATAAAGACTACCAACAGACAAATGTTCAAATGATAAATTTAAATAAAGTGTCTGAACACTTAAATGTTTTTTCCTTAAAATTCTTTGTCTAGTTTTCAGTAAACAAACAGCAACAGTATTCACTATATTGTTCATGAACACAGTACTGCTTTCACAAAATTACCCTAATTTGTACTATTTTATACAACCATCCGATAAAATACAATTACAATATGATCAGTGGCTTCCTTTCAGTATCTATTCCTGTTCATTAATATACAACATCGGAAGGCAAATGTCACAATGTTACCGTACAGCGAGAGTGCCGGTGTTCTATCAGAAATCTATATCCATCAGATTTCTATACCCACGTCACCGGAAGTGACACGAAATCAGCTGCGCGCATGGAAAGTGAAAGCTGTGGTTCAGAAATCTTACTGATGTGCGGCTCGCCTGCGCAGTACACTTGTAAAATTTCTATATCTAGTGGATATGCCGCTCACATCCACAGTACACCCGTCAGATTTTTAGAAATCTGATGAATATAGATTTCTAATAGAACTCGTATCATTTCCTAGAATTTATTCCCATCATTTGAACTGGTGTTATAGGAAGTTCTACAACAGCAGGTGGTCTGGTTTTTTGGGGTTTTTTTTTTTTAGTCACTGCAAATCTGCAACAATCAATTTGCAAATGATAATAAAAACCTCAAGCTATTTAAATGTGCATAGGGACCGGGGATAGTGCACACGTTATGAAAGAACATCATCATTGAAACCATAATTACACTCTCAACATATTTACTAAACTATCAGTACACTGAGGCAAGAATGCGGAGTTATTTTAGCATGCATAGCAAGAGGTATGAGAATGAGAGTATCATCATAAGGAAATATGGGTAAACTAGCAAAAATATTCTATTTCCTTTCTTGGGTGTGTGAAAGACATAGACAACCAATTGAGCAGGAAACGATTTCTGACACTTCCTATACAAATTTAGACAAAGTTTACTCCACAGAGACCTATTTTACTGAAAACAGCCAAATACATTGGAATGAATCCAAAAATGTTAGATACATTTACAGTTCTGGTGAGATAGAATTGGTAGTTTCTACGCAGCAGATAAACTGTGGATTGAAATTGGATCATGAATCATCTCAGAGACTGGGGCTGGTACCATGGAAATTCAAAGCCACTGCTTTATGTCACAGATATTGCGCTGTTCCTCTTACTCT